AAGGAAAAATAAATGGTGCTAAAAACAAACAGCTGGAGGAACATTTTGCAACTAATAGTAACATAACTGGGTTTGAAAAGAACATCTAAGAGAGGCAGAACTTCTCACAGGTGAAGAAGGACAGATGTTGAGTAATCTGCAACAAACTACTTCTTCAAACTGTGGAAAAACTAAAATTGTGAAGACTTTGAATATGTCATCGTCTGATTGTCTGCATACTATCATTAAAACATCTATTTTCATTGCATGGGGTCAGAAACGCTTACAGAAACCACTGTCTGTGCATTTACCTCCTAATATCACAGCATAGTGTATTCAGCTGCCGTATGACTAAAAACAACTATCTGATTTAGTGATGGGATTTATTGCCTTAAGCAGTAAGGGAGGCAAGGAATTTTCCTCACATGGAGCGATCAAAAACAAGTTTTTTGAAAGCTCTTTCTTCAGAAGACCAGTCTTAAAAATAGCTGATCTCGAGGTAGCAGCTTCTTTGCTAAAAATGCCTCCGCAGCATTGCAAGAGCCAGAATGAAGCTGGTGACTGTCAGACTGGGGGAGAGGGCTTACTTGTGCTGCATCTGGTAATAGATAACCCTGCAACTTAGCGTGCAAAGGGAGAATGCGTGAGTGCCCACTTTGTCAGATTGTCAATATGTCTTCAGGATACGGAGACAGAGTGGGTCTAGAGTTCAGAAAGAGTTTGCTGACGCGATCAGCAAGCCAATATGTTCACCACATTCTAGAAACACATCCATATACTGTAAATGCTGATGTATTTAATTAAGGATGTAACTAAAAATATAATTTGTGACATTTTTTATTCAGAGATTTCATTTATTGTAGGATCTACCTGACAATATAAAGCGCCTTGAGTCGACTATTGTTGTAATTTGGTCCTGTATAAATAAAATTTAATTTAATTTCCAGAGCAGGGATCTAAAGAGACTTGAAAGCTGTGGGGCTGCAGGTCCTTTATAACACACGGCTTCTTTTATAGCATCTTTCTACTCATTTGAACACTTTCTCCCACAAGTCTCACTCTTCCAATCACACACTGCACAGGGGGAAGCTTGGGGAGTAACATTTTACCCAAGGATACTCTGGCATGTACACTGGAGAAGTCAGGGATTGATGCACCAGCTTGATGATTGGTTGATGACTAAATCTACCACCTGAGCTACAGACATACCTAAAACTGCTTTTCAAAATAAAACGAGAAATAACAAAAAGACAAAAAAACAACAGAACGAAGAAAAACGAATTACTGGAAATCACATGGAACTTACTTGTTTATCCATCTGACACAAAAGACTAATCCAGACTCTTATTATTGGATTTAAAATAATCTTGGGTTTGCTTGTTGGCACAAAATTGCGTGTCAACATATCTCAAGCAGCGTTATTTGGAGCTCTGTTTCAGGCCACGTGGAAATCTAAATCTGAAGCTAATTTATTTATTTGTCATTTATTTGTGTATTTGTATTTGTTGTTTATTTACTTTACATATGTTTTATTTTCAAATGAGTTGAGAGATGAGATAGCCTTTATTTGTCAGTTGCAGGTTTTTTGCCCACAACCGAGATGACAGACCTTGCCGACCGTACATACAATAAACAAACATCACATTGGGGAGACAGGTCAGGCTAGGTAGTGAGGAAAAAACCACAGAAATGTGTAACACAGAAGGATAATACAGGAATGCACAGATATCAACACACCATAGCGCAATAAACACAGACAGCAACATGGGAAAGAGTTCCAGTGTGTACATCTGATCTGGGACCAGTGCAATCTTTCGACTGCGCCTCCAACTGACCCGATGTCCACATCAGAGGGGAGGTAAGCGTTGGAGGTGGCGTTGGATCCGGGGTAGGGAGGGTGATGCGTCGGTGAGTGCTTATCAGTATCAGTATATGTATGTGTGTGCGTGTCCATAGTTCAGCTGAGACATGTGAAATGTTGAGTTACTTTAACAACACTGTGTTGACAACTGACAGATAGATAAAGAAATAAACAGTCTTGCATATATTCTGTGACCTGGTAAAGGCCCCTGAAGCTTTCCAAAGTGAGCCTATGTTACTTGTAAAGCAGGGGTCTCCATCTCCAGGCCTCGAGGGCCACTTTCCTGCAGGTTTTAGATCTCACCCTGGGCCAACACACCTGAATCAAATGATTAGTTCATCACCAGGCCTCTGGAGAACTGCAAGACATGTTGAGGAGGTAATTCAGCCGTTTAAATCAGCTGTGTTGGATCAAGGACACATCTAAAACCTGCAGGACACCGGCCCTCGAGGCCTGGAGTCGGCGACCTCTGATGTAAAGTATTACTCAAAAAGATCCTGAGCAGCTTAAAACAGAATAATGCAAAAGACGTTTCATTAGCACTGAGTTCAAATGCATAAAAAAACCCATCAGATGTATTTTGTTTATTTATCCATTCTTTTCTTTTTTTCTTTTATCAACGATAGCTGCAGAGATGCTTTGAATGTATTTCTTGTTTTTCTGCGATGCTGCAGCCACACAGTCTCCACATGTTCAGCATGCTCCTGATAAATAGGACTGGGACTGATTAAGAAAACAAGCTGAGGATCCTTCATTAGCATCTCTGTGAAAAGAGAGAAATGAAACAACACCATGAACATCTTTAAAAATAAGCTGTGCACACTGGTGAAGACTTTATTTCAAGGAGTCGATGAGGTTTGACGTGTGTGGGCAGTCCCAGTGAATCAGGGCTTTGAGTGACTGATGATCAGTTATTACCTCAGGTGGATCCTGAGGGACACTGAGTGTGGTGGATCTGTGAGCAGCTTGAGGCTCTGATTAAAACATGACTGATTTGCGGTTTACTCAAACTCTGCCTGATTCATGAGTGTGCACACACACACATGCATGCACATGAAAAGTTATGAAAAAGGTTTTCTGAAAACTGTAAGAACAGGCAAAAATAAATCTGAAAAAAAAAAAAAAAACCACCTGCAAAAATGTAAGTTCATGATTTATTCCAGTGCTCCTCTCTGTTGCACAGCAACAGTTTGGTGGTTTGTGAATACAAATGACTAAATCATATATTTCTCCTCAATTAACAGTTTCAGCCATAAAATCAACACATGTTGAAAATCTTTGTGGTATTTTTCACATTCAATAACTTTGTTTTATTGGTATGTAAGTGTTTAATGGGAGCAATTATTAGTTTCCCTGATGTA